CACTGTCCTCTATCACAAACCATCACGTTTATGTCCTTAAAAGGTTATTTGACCAAATTTGGTATCGAGCCGTCGGGTAAGGCTAGATGGTATTACTCTATATTGCCAAATTTATATTTGCAATTTCCAAATTCGATTGGCTCAATGAACTGGTGAGAGCGCACTAAGACTGGCTCACATTTTTCGCCCTCGTATTCTTTTTATCAAAAAAAAAATCTTTTTGTGTGTCCGTTACTCTAATACCATTTTCCTGATTTTTTTTTTTGCCTGAAAATAAAAATTAACACAGTGAACGAAGCAATACTGCTGCCCATGCTGTTTTATAATTTGCATTCTGTTTCTCGTACTTATTACGCTGAAATTAATTTGCTCGAAAATAATGAAAGAATTAATTCTACGTTTGCAAAATAAACAAACGTTGTTATTGTATATCTTAATTATTGTCTATTACACATATATTCAATTTTATTTTCAATTGAGAAGAGCTGGTAATGTCTTTATTGTTACTTAATATTAATTAAAATTATCGCTTTGTGTAAAAATAATTATCTGGCACCCAATCCAAAATGAATTTTGACCAATTAAATAATTCCGTAATAATCGACTGTTGTACAGTAATATCTACTATTAATATATTATAATATAATTCACTATAACAGAATTCTTTGTCTCTTTTAAATATTATTACGCCAAAAAGTATATCGTTAGCCAAAAGGCGAAAGGTTGCAGTCATAGCCATCCCCATAATAATAGGTCTAAGTTTGTACGTAATAGTAAAGGTATCTGACATATCTTTGTCAGATGTAATGGGAGAACCGTAAAATCGTAAAGCCCACAGGGAGTGCATATAAGATAAATGTGATTCTTGTAAAAACACCCAATGTAAGAAGACATCCAAGTGGAAAAAAAAAGGTTATCACAGTCACGATGCTGCGTGTTTTTTAATGTTTTTTCTATATATGTATTTCTCTTGTGCGGTTGTGTGGCCAGTTCACTTTTTCATTACCAGTTTCCACAGTTCAAGTTTATTTTTTAAATATTGGTCGGCTACTTTGAAATTAGAAGGCTGTGTAATAGCCGCAGTAGAAGACAATCAAGCAACAAAGTTACTTACAAAGTAATTATTGTCTGAAAGTTTATACCTGTCAAACATTTCATGCTGCCTGCAGCTGCGGTCGTGTCTTTTTGGGTGCGACATTATTGTTATTACTTTTCACATCGCATAGTTGATCGCCCTCAATCACGAAATAAAAGCACAGGGACATATTAAGCTATCTATTGTGTTTGAGAACGAATGTGTGTAAAACATCAAAGTTGTGTACGCTGAGGTGAGCATCACAAGTGTAATGGCGACATTGCGTTGGGAATATTTCAATAAAAGTGTCGACTTTTATAATACAGAATCTGCGTTGAGAAAATGAAAAGTGTATGCGTATTGTCAGAGTGGATGTAATCTCTAGAGCATGTTAGAAAAATCCATGTAATCGAATCTTTACCTATTCTTAATATTGTTGTGAATCCTTTCAAAATCAGGAACAGGGGCCCGTTAACGCTCTATAAACAATATTCGCTTGACACACTTAATAGGATTGACTCTTTCAAATTAAAAAAAAAAAACATGTTTACTTACGGAGGACAATAACTCCTAGCAGGTAACTATGGATCAAACTCCCAAGGAATGAAAACCTCTAGGTTAAATACATCTCCTACATATTGTATTAGTAAACGCAAGAAGAGGGTTAAAATATTGTTTCCGGCATTCGCTAAATGTCAGGTGCTTTTTATGGCGTCTCTCTGAAGAAAAAAAAATAATCTTTTGCCGCTCTTTCGTGACCATTTATTTATATGGCCATTCTGCTCATGAGAATAACGGCTGGCAACGGGACACATTCAGCCAGTCATCAGCTTTGTAATCTTGTGTGGATTTTACATTTGTTGCAGAAGCGTGACTTTTGCGGTTTCCATTATAGAACGGTTTGCAAAATTTATTACCCATAAAAGTTGTCAGCCTCCGAGTGTAGGTTTTAAGATAGCTATTTAATTGATACAACTTGTATTTAGAACAATCGCACGATTTACAATTAAACTAGTAATATGACAATCATACAATCAAATAATATGACACGATACGATACTTCGTAATCTTGCATGTCAGAATTGTTTATTTTCAACAATACCATCAATCATATGATCGATGTTTCGCGATATCGCAGATACTGATATATAAATAGATTTCAGTAGAAGCAATAATTAAACACGAAGATTGTGATTTACCCACACATGCTACTCAATATTTCGAGGATCGAGTGTTACACGAATAATGGTAATACGAACAGGGATTTTACTCGAACATGTAATTTTTTACGTTATTATGCCTTTACTGCCCCCGTCTCAGCCTCATGTGATTCGCCGCGGAGCGTTTGTTAAATCAAATCGCTCTTTACCGTACAATACTTTTCTTTTGTCCCCTATAACATACATATATGATTATACGGCGATATAGCCTAATAGTCTGCCTTTTTATGGGCTTTTATTCTCTTAATTCGACACAAATTTGATGTAATACAAGAAGATGATCATAAATGCCAGTTTGCCAAATAAGATTGATAATCAATGAATCATTTCTGCAGAAAATCAAATGGAGACTGCTGACGACAAACGCCATAATTACGTGCCCACGGGCAAAGCGCTGGTCGAGACGACTACAACAACGCCGTCTCCACATTTAATTAATCCCATGCCAGACTTTAAGGAGCCCGATTATCTTCGATTGATTCTCACGTCTCGTGTATACGATATCGTCAATGAAACTCCATTGCAAAAAGCTACAAATCTATCGTTCAAGTTGGATAACAAGATCATGCTGAAAAGAGAGGATCTTCAGGAAGTATTTTCTTTTAAAATCCGGGGTGCTTATAATAAGATTGCACATCTCACTCCGGAGGAGAAAAAAAGAGGGGTTATTGCTTGCTCTGCAGGTATGTGATATATCGTGAGTAGTGCATTCTTCGACGTGGAGAGCAAAACTACCTGCATGCGAGCTACAAAGGTGTATTGAAAGTTTGTGAAATTTGTTAAAGGAAATCACGCGCAAGGTGTTGCATTATCTGCCAGACATCTTGGGCTACCAGCCACCATTGTCATGCCTTTGTAAGCGGATCTTCTTTTTTCTTTTTTGCTCGTGATGAAACTATATCACATAAATCCAATTACATTTGCATTTACTACCCATATTCAGAGCCACACCAGACATTAAATGGCGCAATGTGAAGCGACTGGGTGCAAAGGTAGTCCTACACGGTTCAGACTTTGATGAAGCAAAGCAAGAATGTGCTCGTCTCTCTGAGCTCCATCAACTTACCAATATACCTCCATATGATGACCCATATGTAATAGCTGGTCAAGGCACAATAGCAATGGAGATTCTCCGGCAGTGTAATCTTGACGAGATACACGCTATCTTTGCCTGTGTGGGCGGCGGAGGATTGATTGCGGGCATTGGGAGTTACGTGAAGAAGTTGTGTCCGAACATTAAGATCATTGGCGTAGAGACTTATGACGCTAACGCAATGACGCTGTCGTTAAAAGCACAGAAGCGAATTGCGTTAGATGAAGTCGGTTTATTCGCCGATGGAGCAGCTGTCAGGCTGGTTGGTGAGGAAACGTTTAGAGTGTGCAAAGAAGTAATAGATGAGATGGTTTTGGTGAGCACTGATGAAATATGTGCCGCTATTAAGGATGTTTTTGAAGGTAAGGAAGGCTTAAATTAGTAGGAAGAGCTTGTACGTATTTGAAGATTGTCCGCAATTTGATTTATTTATGGTAAAAATGTAGATACACGTTCGATAGTTGAACCAGCAGGTGCACTTTCCGTGGCCGGATTAAAAAAATATATTGCTGAAAAGAATCTTAGCGGCAAATGCTGTGTTGCCATCACATCTGGGGCGAATATGAACTTTGATAGACTGCGTTTCGTCGCAGAACGTGCCGAGTTGGGTGAACATCGGGAAGCGTTGATTTCTGCTATTATACCAGAAAGACCCGGAAGGTACTTTAGAGCATTGAGTTGACGTGTTGTAAGCCGATAATTCATTATTGCTGACGGTGCCACACCCGAAACATTTCAAAGTTTTGTACAATTGTACAATCACATCCATCCGCGTGCTATAACAGAGTTTTCTTATCGGTAAGCAATTTGATTGTTGTAAGTTTCTATCTAGTTTCGTTGAACCTAATCCTATAGATAATGTTTTTCCAGGTACTCTGATTCTAAGAAAGCATGGATTTACATGTCATTCATGGTTGAGAATAGAGAAAAAGAAATACCGACCATTTTAGCTGCGCTGAAGGAAGACGGGATGGAGGGTCAAGATATTAGCGACAACGAAATGGCGAAAAGCCATGCACGATATCTTGTCGGTGGGAGAAGTAATGTTGAGAACGAAAGGTTATATCGATTCGGTGAGGCTAACATTGCATATTTAGATTGTGACATATTACGTTTGCTGCTCAATGACTTACTTGCATCCCAATCTTACAAATGAACTAGAATTTCCTGAACGGCCGGGGGCGCTACGCAAGTTTTTGCAGGGTCTCCGAGCTGAATGGAATATTTCTTTGTTCCATTATCGAAATCATGGATCAGGTAACTGTAACAATGAACATGGTGTATATCAAGTCTTATTTTAACGGCTAATTTTTTTTTTCTTGCATAACAGATATGGGGAGAGTTCTTGTTGGAATTCAGGTAAGCCCGGACGATTCTGATGCGTTTGAGTCTTTCAAGAATAATCTTGGATATCATGTGGTTGATGAGACGCAGAACCCCGTATACATACAGTTTTTGAAGTAAAAAGTTCATCCATTTATGCGATCTTTGCAACACTCGAGGAAGTGTCCTGATAATCATCCACTTGCAATCTTAATAACGTGAATGAGGATATTTTAGCTATACAAATCGTCTGTGTATATCCACATTATAATTGACACGTATGCTAAAATGTCGAGTCCCGCTGACTTCCATATAATCGTACAGCATTAGCTACGTGTGCGTTGATATTTTTGAAAGAAATGAACATGGAAGATTGCAAATGGATGTCGGGACGGACAATATTGTTTGGGCATTGGCATTAGAAGTTTTATCCAGGACTCCAAATTTTCTCTAATCAAATATACGTTTGCAAAACCAGCATTGTGAGCCAACCTCTTATTGCTACGAGCACAGATAAAGCACTTGTTTTTAAGTTGTCGGTTCACTATTAAAAAAATACAGCATATTGCCAGGCAGGTTGTGATAATAATGTAAATAGCGTCATTGGGTGACAATGTATTACTATACAGAAACATTTTTAGTAAACCTTCGCCTCGTGATTAAAATTTGTGACTCTTCCCGCATTTAACATATAATGTATATCAATTCCAGTTTTCTGTAGACAGCACACTCTTTGTCTGATTGCTTACTCTTTTTGTGACAGAAAAGGGCACAATACATTTATCACCTGATACTGATGTTGAAGACAACGATATCAAAGTTTAGCACTTTTTATATACAGTATCGGACAAAATGATGTCGTTAAATTCTACTGACATCAGAAAAATAACACGCTTTTGGACGTGAATTGTCGCTTTTTTTTTCCATTAAGTATAATATAGGTTCGAGCGTCTATTGCGAAACTTCATTAGAGATTTTTCACAACCATGAATATATTTTTCTTTCAAAGTCTGCCTTCACCTACGGTGATTGTAAGAATCAGTTCCGTTATTATTATTTTCTCGTCAAACAAAATTTTCAAAACTTTATCCAGCTGAAAGGCGTATTAGTATGCTACTTAAAAAGGCCATTTTGAATTTGTTTCTAACCGTCTTACACATGAAAATTGTGACAATTTATTCATTCATTATCAGGTACAGATTTATGCACCTCTTTAAAATTGAATAAAGGATTAGGATTGACCGAACTGCCTGAATCTGGGAAGTTATGGGAGACTTATTTTCTTCCGTTTGAGCTTATTATTATAGCACGAGATTATAGTATGTTGAGCGAATTTGGAAGTTGCTGAACAAGAATTATGACTTGGACTGCTTTCTGAAAAATCGGGAAATGCCGTTCGTTTCCTGCACCAAAATCTCTTTCTGACATACCAGAAAATGAAATTTTAGAAATTTGGAATCACCTGCTTTCTGCAATTTATTTATTAATAATCATTTGGTTAAATTCGAACGTGCAATAGATTGAATACATATCACAATCACTCTTTACGGGTATAACATATTTGTTCATTGTAGTCGTCCTTTTAGATAGATCGTGTATATTTTTCTCACATTTAACAGTAATATTAATATTTAATCGCATATACTTACAATGCCACGGAAAAGTCGTGGACAACTTCTTGGTTTTTCGTCTATCTCTGTTCAGAAGGCCAATGGATTAGCGGACTGCGCGTAAAGCCGGAATCGTGACTTTAAACGCTTCCCACATCTCCGTCGGCCCTTCGCGCATTGACATTCCCGAACTTGTCAATCATGCTTTCGACTATGTCAGGAAGCTTTTATTCTATTGTAGCTGATTACTTATATTATGTCAACACGTGATTTTTTAAAAATTAGATCTGGTTCCAAAATTTTTCAAATGGTGTATCTATAACGTTTTTATTCTATTGCAAGCAAATTCTATAGTAACTTAGTGGTTCATACGTAATTCGTCATATTGGCTAGTAAGATGAAGAACGAACCAGAAATAGTAGTGTTTGACGACAAGAGCTTGAAATCGGCACGCGTGAACGGATCCAATAAAAGCGAGTGGAAGGCTTTCATGGTGAGCCCGTTGAATGACAGCTTGTGCATACTTGCCAGAACCCTAACAGACTTGTTCAAACACGTAGTCTTCTAAAGTCTCAAAAACGAGTCTCAAACCACCCGCCGCACCTCAAGACGCAAAAGAGCTTGAAGAAGAAGAGTGAGTTTACGTGTTGTGTAGTTACGTCTCGGTTGCTTCGCTGAGAATAATTATTAACCCGAGCCCGAATAGACTTGATCGGCAGAATGATTTAGAGTTGGAGGAACTTTTAAAGACAACCAAGTTGCTCGAAGAATATAGTAAGTCAAATAGTTTATTCCGACTGTATCGAGACTAGTGTATAATGACATATTCTCTTTATCATAGCCGCCGAAGAAATTGGGGGGAAAGATCGGCGAAAATACATAGAAAAACGAATGACCGATCTTGGTGCAAAGGTGAATAGAACATGAGCATGAGAGCATATCTTTTGATACGATTTTTCATAACACTGGGTTGAATTCGTTATACCAATTAGCCCAAGAAAGGAGTAAAAACCCCTATTCCGATAACAATAGGAATGAATTTAAAAAGAAAAGATCGCGAAAAGAAAGAACTCGAAGAGGTATGTTGATAAACTCGATTTTAAATCAAACAATCAACGTTCAATCTATATTCAGCATATATCATGACAGTCATCCTGTAAATCAATTGAATTTCTCAATTTGTCTACCTGCTTCTTTCTCCAAGGCTAAAAATCTTGGTTTGTACCATCGGAGCATAAAACACGTATGGGCTGCATCGGCAAAAAAGAAATCGAATAATCGGAAAAATCGTGGCATTGGTGTTGGGCTTGGCAAGGTTAAAGATGGGATATTAACATTGAGTTCACAAGATATCAGAAGAGTGCAGAGCGCTGGTGTGAAGAAAAAACGGAAAGGCACGAAGAGATTATTCAAAAACTTGTAATAGAAGCATGAAACGTAATTTTTTTACTACCGGTGATTTCAAAAAGTCTATTTTAATAAGTGTACACATCTTACTGGTATTTATAGAACAATTAAAATAATTCCAAAGATGGATAAATTAGATGTCTTCATGAGTGAACCATTCTTAGTCTATCATTTTTTACTTGATGTGGAATCTTATAGAGTGTTTGCTGACAGAGGGTCTTGTAATTGTAGGCTGAGTGCCACTGCTTCTAGTCCATTTTGAGGACCCTCTATCCGATCTAAGTTCGATAACTTCTCAATATAATACCTTACGTCTTTAAGCAAGCTGAGTTACATGGAGATGGTCGATAATTAGAAACATGGGCATGGTGTGATTTAAACCGTAAACCGATGAATTAGATGCTTACCGTGATTTTCCCGTCTCGGTGAAAATACTTAATTTATCTATTTCTTGTGCCAGCTTCGTATTAAATAATTTAAATACTTCAGACATTACGCTCTGAAATTATTTGGAAAGTATGAGTAGGACACGTGCGCGTGTAACTGATTAAACATTGGGACAAATTGGCCATTCCATATCATTTCATTAATTAACTCACCTGGAGAGTGTCAGGGCGGAGATATCTATTTAATACTCTATGCAGCGTCGTGGTCTCTTTTACCAGAACTTCCATGTATTGGTGCACGTCGTTGCTTCCATTAGGATCATCCCATTGCACGGCCTTGGTGTTTATCAAAGAGGATAACAGAGGATAATGAGCAATCAATCAAACCAATATAATCGTGTCGTCATCATAAAATTTACCTGGAACTTTTTGATGTGTGCTTCAAGTCTTTCATCCATTATAGACACCAACTTGGCATGAATTTCATTTTTGTGATTAGTGTAATCCTAATAAATAGCAAAACAAGTGTTACAAGGATATATATAGAAAATCGAGGGAACGTGGATGAACCATAAAACACAACGGCGTCAATAAAAAGATCCACATGCAATCGACTCACCTTTTTTATCCGATCAAATTCAGTCAACATTACAATCTGCTTTGCGTCAAGATTATGCCGTATGCATTCTCTCATGTAAGGAATCAACGATGTCAACGCGTCAAGTGACTGCGAAGCCAAAGCTAATACGAAAGAAAGCCAAATTAGATCAAACGTCTATTAAATTATAGTTAGAGCACATTACTACGTATATCATACCAAGGTGTTTAGCCGTAATGTTCTTCAATCCTGCAGAGTAACGTGCTCCTCCTCCCAAAATTACTTGACATGTTCTTGAATTGAAAGTCTAATAACAAATAAACATCTCAGCAATCGCACGTTATGTATCGTAGACTAACCCTCTTGAAAATTCAGACTTACGTTCAGTATCTCTACAATCTTGTTCATGACTTCCTGAGTCAAATTGGGAATATTCACCATACACCTCAAACTATCACCCAATGTTTTTAGTAACACTAATGTGCTTCCAACCACAAAAAATTTGTTATTCTCTACTGACAAAGACTTCTTGCTCGCATAATTAGCCTCTGGAGCTGCGTCATTCGGACCAGTACCGTCACGTATAACGTTGCGAGGTGCTGGATATGTTGGTGATAGAGGACTTTGCTCATATGGATCGCCAGAAAAGTTGTCTCGAAATTCGTCCAGACCTTCACTGGAAGCACGGATAATTAAATTAACTATGTTTTGAAAGTCAATTGGGACTTCAGCAGGTATCCATTGTTCGTTTTCGATTACTGTTACTAGTTGTCTGACTTTTTCCATCTGAAAGTGGTTGAGAAATGACTTTGCCTAAATAAGCAAATAAACAAGCAGATGCACGTGAGACAAGCACGAAAAGCAAGCGCGACATTAAGGGTGCCCGATAATGAACGATAATTGCCTGAGACATAATAGTTGGTCGAAGTCGAACACTAGTCCTGCCGCAAAGACTCTCTCCCTGTAATACAAAAGCCCATGTAACATTAAACAGACGATAAAAATCTTTTGGATTCAACTGCGCATTCTGTTCAGCACGCATAGCAATCAACTTTGCACATCTATCGTAGGCCAAGTCGGCAGACGATACTACTATTTCCGAAGACTCTGTCAACAATTGTCCATAAGTGTTAGATGAATCGAATTGGGGTGAAGGACTTGCAGCATCTACGGTACTCTGAGATGGTTCGGAAGCTGCCGAGACTTGTTTCGATGTAGAAGATGATGCCCGTCGAATGAACGATTTTAGACCACTTATTGATTGTGCTGTTAGAATACGTAGGTTTGGTATAGGTTGATCTGCTTTTTCTTCATCATTCTTGTGACCGACACCATTTGTTTCGTTGTGAGAAACTTGTTGATTTTCTTCGTCCGAATGAGTAGCTCCAGAAGAGACTGTATTGTCATTAGGCTCACTGGTGTCGAAATGAGGATCGGCATCGGCAGATCGCACTTCTTTGAGAACACTAGCAAAAAGTTCGTTGTAAACAGCTACGCGTTGCATGGCTTCTAACAAGACGGCATACAAGTCGAGCAGCACGGCAAGAAACGCGTCATACGTCATTCCTTTTAAATGCTTGGCTAACATGGCGCTATGCGACGTTGATGTGCTACAAGCACCAAATCATATTCAAACAAAATAATTAGTCATATGGTAATATAAAAAAACAAATTAAACCAATAACTGAAATACACTAGATATTTACTTTGATTCACCCCTAATTTCTCCCAGCTGTTCCTCCATTACTTTTGGATATCGCTACATTTTAAAAAAAAAAGTAACATGTCCATGAATAAATCAATAATTTATATTCCAGAAAGCTATAAAAAAGGTGGTACGTTACCTTTTGAATAACTTTTTCAATTTCCTTAAAAATCCTTTCTCGATACGCTTGCAAGGCATTAGCAAATCTATTTGTTCTGTACAGTCCCAAAATTAATGGTGCTAACCTCTCCTTTAGTTTCTCCTCCTTGTGTAATGACGTTCCATCACTACTCATGATAGAAATAGTTTTCCTAATTTGAGACTGCTGAGCCAAGTTAAATTTATACAACTTGTTTATAACTTGTTCCGTATTTACAATATTCAAGTGTTCCTCAAAGTCCAAGAATATAATATTCAATAAATCATTCTCCATCATAACCCCAATACTTCTATACAGTTCATGCAACTGTGCACTGAAATGCACTAATGCTCTAACACCACGCAAATCAATCGGCCCAGCACGCTTTAGATTCTCTGCAACTTCACTTAATCTTCTCGACATGACCCGTGTTGTAGTCGGCTCATCGCCTTTAGGATAATCCTCCGTTTGTGATATATCCCCTCCTTGAAGGAAATTGTTGGCCTCATCAATTAGGTCAAGTGCAGAAAAGTAGTCGCCTTGACGTAAAAGGTCTTGTATAGTCGGCTGAGTGGATCGTAGTTGAGCAACCATACGAATGCCCTCATGCAATCGACCCACGTTTGCTCGTCTACGTTTTAGTCTTACTACCTCCAGTCCTTGCTTTGCTTGTGATTCGTCAATACGCGATAATTTTTGTCGGAGCACATTAATCTGAGAAATGCAATCAAGAGTCTCGGAATGAAGTGCTTGGAGGTTAGAAAGAGCAGCAAAAAATGAAGACGATCGTCGAGATATTTCATTTATCAAATGTACTTCAACAGTGTCCAGATAGTGCGATAATTTCTCTTGCAGTATAGCGTTTGGCGAGATACCTGGGCTAGCCAGATTTCCGCCAATAATATCAGCATGCTCACAGACAGCATCAAAGGTTCTTGGATCTTCAAGAGAGAAATCGGCATCGAAAAATATTGATGGCACCGTCTCGAGCAATGGCAATTCTATCTCTGGCTTTCCAACATCATCTTCTGTGGGTGATGGGAGTAGAATAGGAACAGAATATGGATTTCTTGAGCTCTCTAGTCTATGAGCTGGAATTTCGTCCAATTCTGTTTTGCTCAGATTCTGCAAGTTTGTAGCAAGTAAATTAGTAGCAGATGCTGCAGGAGAATCGCCCGACGTATAGACCAATTCGCGATTGTTCTCTGTGCCCATTTCCTTGTTGAGTCGATATTTTTCAAAAACCGGAGTAATATTTTTCAGGTAATTATTAAAATCGGATGGCTTGACTTTACGTATTGCCGTTTGGGGAACGGGTGGAATGTCGCTCTTGGTTGGTTTCATGGTGCTCGATGATTTCGTATTGGGATTATTGAGAACACCCGAAATCGCTATAGAGAATGATTAGAAATTAGCACAAGAATTGATTTGTAGAGTGAGTAATAGATATAATAAATGAATCGTACCATTAAAACCAATGTCCTAGAAGCAACAATCGATGCAACGATCGATCACAAAGAAGAAATTTATTGAAGGACAAGATTTAAGATTTTTTTTTTCTCCTTCTGAAAGTCCATTCTTATCAATGTGTAAATTTTACCTTTGTAGTCCAAGGTAACGAAGTCTCTGACATTGTACTGAAATTCGATATTGACGAATTTATCGAAATCCTTCTCATATGACCGTGTCGATAATTCTGACCATATAGCGCCATACTCGATGATGCTCTTTGAGTAGATGGAGATCCATTGTGATATCCGTTGTTGTCAAAACTCCTGGTCGATGAAGTTGAAAATCTTCGAGCAAGCGGCGAAGTTGTGGCAAATGACGAGTGTGGAGATTTGGGGGATTTGGGGGATTTGGGAGAATTGAAATTGTCTTGGTCGTTCGGAGATGGGTCATACTGTTCTAATTGGAGTGTCTTCTCCATGTTTTTGCCAAGACAAAGGGGAAAAAATATTAAAATTGGAGTAATAAATTAGAGAATTTTGATAATATTAGTATTCATAGGTGAACCGTAAAGTCTCTCACTATTACTATCCCTGAAAATGGTATGAGAAAAAAGGTGGTGAATTTGCAAAACGTTAAATGCTGACAACTATTACTATTGCCCACAAAATTTTATAATTAAACAGCGGTCTTCCGATCATAAACTGTACGACGTGGTTAACGTTAAATGACAATTGTTTGTGTCAAAATAATTGGGACAAGTCTTTTCCGTATTAATAGTATTTCCTTTTTCGTATCCTGTTACTCGGTCATCATTTTTCCCGTTAACATGGATTTATAAACGTGATCATTTCATTTAGATCAGATATTTAACGAATATAATAATATAATAATCTCTTTGTTTTATCCATCTTTCGCTTTCGCTCTATCAATATGAACGCGAAAACACGGGCTTTGATTGTCGGGATGCTTGTATCCGGTGTCTGCAATACGTTGCTAAACAAACTTCAAGATATGCAATGTGTTGAGAACTGTGATGACAAAGACCCTTCCAAGCGCGAATACTTTGAGCAGCCTGTATGGCAAACTTTGAACATGTTTATAGGAGAGACTTTCTGTTTCATAGCCTTATACGTTCAAATGATTCTAGATTCGTATAAAGAGGAAAAGCACGTTGATCGGGATCGGCCTCTAGCAGTTGGGAGATCGTCAACTGACGATTCTATTGAAGTGGAAGACGAGTACGTGCGTCCCCAACGAGAGTTAACTGGATGGAGAGTATTATTATTTTGGATCCCGACGCTTTGCGACATTTGTGGAACTACGGTATGTCGAGGCAAATCGTTGTTAATTTGAGAGTGTTCAGTGTACTTATACATTTTTTGTAAACAGCTCATGAACGTTGGCCTGATTTATACGTCAGCCTCTGTATATCAAATGCTTCGCGGAGCAGTAGTTCTCTTCACCGGTAGCTTTTCTGTAATCTTCCTTAAACGAAGACTTTTGCCGTATCACTGGTTCTCTCTCTTTTTAGTAGTGTTAGGTGTTACTATCGTAGGTCTCTCAAGCATTCTGTTCCCACCACCCAGATCGTCTGAAGTCGATGTTTCGACCGCTGGTCTCTTCTCGGTCCCTTTCGCCCTAGTCGGCGTCCTGTTTGTTCTGTTTGCTCAAGTATTTACAGCTTCTCAGTTTGTAATAGAGGAAAAGCTTGTAGAAACATATAATGTTGGTCCTCTTCGCGCTGTAGGACTCGAGGGCATTTTTGGATTGACGACTATAACATTTGGGACAATCGCATTGTACTATACATATGGAATTCATCATCCAGGAGGGTATTTTGACATACCCGCTGGTTGGAATCTGATAATAAGCTTTCCCCAAGTATGGGGTGCGGGCATTGCTATTTGCTTTTCCATCGCATTCTTTAACTTTTTCGGGTTGGCAGTCACAAGGACTGTCAGTGCTACTGCCAGAAGTACGATCGATACGTCCAGGATTGTATTTGTTTGGATGGTTTCACTTCTTTTGGGTTGGGAGATATTTTCGTGGTTACAAGTATTAGGTAAGATTAGAATGTCCAGTAATCTTATTAATTAGTTCCTTGAGATCATTCTTTGTTTTATGACTAATTCATCCTTTTCGTCTTTATTTTTCGTAGGGTTCATTGTACTCGTTACCGGTACATTTATTTTCAATAATGTTATAAATCCACCGAGCTTTATCGCCGGAGGTCATGCTGATTCCGGAGAGCGTAGACCGCTAATTCGTAGAACCTCTGACGAAAATATATTGTGATATAAACATTTAGGACATTTGACTTGATAATAGTTATAACATTAATTGATAAATGAGATAAATTATGGTGTTCATAGTCTTCTCCAGTATCTATTCCAAACATCTACTTTCCCATTTTCATATACGCCTCGAACCCAAAAGGCAATACCTCCACCACCACTCTGAACCTTATCAACTGCCAACGACAAGTCTCCCACCCAAAACTCTCTTGTATCTGCACATCCGAGAAATACCAATTCATTTTCTGCTGGGATAGTAACTTGCCCGGCTTCAATGTGGTAATATACATAAAAGTACGCGAATGTATTCTTCAATCCCGAGGTCTGTTTGTAGGTATGACTTAGCACGTGAATGCCTATTTCCCATGAAATCGTCCCTACTATATGATACTCGTTATCGCGAACTGGACTTAGGATATTCGCAGACAAATTTCGTACTCTCTCCTCCGAGATTAGTGGTTCGACCATGGGATTAATCGACAAAGAACCGACATGTGCGATTATGACGGGTTGTCCCTTTAAGTCTTCATCAGCTGGTTCAGCTGCTGTGTTATTTACCTTGTGCAATACCGTAACGCCAAACCTCTTTATGATCAGATCTCGTCCTTTAACCGACTCTGCAAGATCAAACATGGTTGGTGTCAACATCACCTCGGCTGCATGCCAATTATGACGTTTCGTTGTGGTGGTCGTGAGTGTGCCAAATTCTAACTCTGTTTGATCTTCCTTGGCTGAAAGAACGATTTGGTTGCCTTGTGGGTTAGAATCTCCAGCGCCTAAACTAGCAACCTCATCAGTTTCGTCTCCATTATTCACGACAATAAAGGAAGTTGCATCTTCATCATCTACGTCTATGGTTTCGAAACTAACTATTTTCTTCTCGTTCGTCATCGTTCTCAAACCAACGTGGGCATATAATCCAATTTTGACGTTTTGATTCTTTCCAGGGAGATATGTTGCACTAAGCGAAATTCCATCTTCTGGGATCGGAATATCAGTTTCGTATAAAGGTATCACTGAAGTGGATGATCTCTTTGGTTTTGTCGAGTGAATAGCGATTGATGTGCCACCCGAATAAGCAACGTCGAATGTATACTCCCACGTAATGGGGGAATTCTTTCGCAGAGTTTTCGTCGCGGTCCTGGAAAGTATCCTCAGAGTCGGTAACGGTGGAATTGATTGGAGACTTAAATAATACCATTCTTGATCAAGTACTTGCTATCATGTGTTCACCAATTTTATTATTAAAAAAGAAAACTTTTTAGGAAACATTCCAACTTTGAAAGCATGATGTGCTGTGTGTATAAAGCATTCAACCAAGTTGCTTACTTGTCCATCTATAAAGAATTTATATCCACATCCTCGGGAGAAATTTGTATAAAACCTTTCTGTACCTGGAGTATACCTCGGAACAATATAGTCCGCAACGGCTTTCTGTGTACCTAAAATAGACAAGTTTGAACGGGGTTTGGTCATTCATTCTCCCAATGGAGCTTGGTCCCACTCATTCATATATCTTGAATTGATTCTTCACTCAAGATTGTTATTCGTGTAAACTCGACTGTGCGAATATTCCCTCACCGTGCTTTTCCTTAGACGGCCCTAATACATGCTTACTGTTACCAATCCAAAACAGTGAATCGTTAATCCAGAAATTGTCAGCTCCTAAATGCTCAAATGTCCAAGCAGGCGCAAAGAGAGCAGCCGAAGTCCTGCATTTCTGTATGACTTCCAAAGCTTTATAGGTATCGAAACTAGAAAACATATTAGGTAACTGATGCAATTAGCTAATCTTCCAAGTTTACGAATTGACTTGACTCCTCGGTTACTTACCCTCCACCACCATAAGTATTCCTTCCCCATACATCAATACCAGTGTACACATCCCTCCTTCTATGCTTTCCCGCCGCAGCTGCTGAATTTGCTGTTATTTGTTCATCCCACCAATAATTGGTGAACATGCCATCTGTTACTTCGAAAAATGGAAAGTTATTTTCATTCAGCTGATTTTGCCAGAGCCGAATTCCATCCTTTGTCACAGAATCATACCTGCATGCACAAATTATATGGTGTTAACACTTGCTAAAAAAAGACTCACTAACATTATGCATTACCATAGAATCAGACATCCTGGTTTCTTTCTTTGAATCTCTTCACGTAAACAATACAAGAAATCTACGAATAGGCTTGCTTGCATCGCGCCACCAGTGAGATGTGATTCTATGTTAAAGAACCATCCATCAAAATTGTAGTATTCGGCCAATCCAACTAACCCGGTGAAAAAGTAAAATCAACTGGTTATAATTTGCAAATTTCTTGAAAAAGAAAAACAAAATCTATTCATTCTAATTACTTAGTTTATTCGCGAAGAATCTTGAAAATACTCTTCGCTGATCCTCATCCAATTCTGGGAACGTTTGCTTATCACCGGGACCGAGAAGTAAAAAATCGGGTTCAAAAGATTCCAAGTCTTCGGTTATGAAGTTACCAAGAACTTTGACTCCATTACGATGTGCTGCATTCGTCCATTGTCGTGGAGGTACCGAGATGCGGTGATGAGAAAAGCTTTTATTGTTGTGACAAGACGCATGAATTGAGATAAAGCAAGAGTAACGAAAATGACAGCATTGCATTGCATAGGAACGAAAGTCCTACTAAATGAAGATATCAACGTATTGCCAGTACTGAATGCTGTATCCGATTTTGAAGTAGTCTTCGATATATCCTTGGATGACCAAAAAAACAGTATTACTATATGATGAAGAGACATTGATCTCATCATTTAATACTAACCACCAGCCATGTCATGTGTTACGAGAAGTTTACACTTTCGCTTTTCACTCGCATGATTCTTATATGTTGGTCGAAAGTCGGGACGTGGTTGTAAGTTTACGTAAGCGACGTTGGCATTATCACGACCAGGTTCCCAAGCAACCAATTCAGCTAATGATCTCCAGAATGGACTTTTTGTTGGATCTTTTTTCGGAAGCTTCAGCATTACTTCGATCAATGCGAAGTTGAAAAAATTTTAGTAATCCATTAGTGCAATGTCATTTGTAGCACCAAACAGATAATCTGGAAAGGATTTAAAACTTTGGCTTTACGCAAAATATCCGACCAATCAGATCTATTTCATTTAATACTAGGAGAGAACCTTTTTAATGATAAAAATGAGGTTCTCGATTCCTTGAATACATTGGTTTGGATAGAGGATAATCATACATGAATTTAGTCGTCGCACAAAATGTAGGTCTAAGTTAATATTAATAGATAATGATAGGGAAAGTTTGCTACACACTGATTGTCTCGGTCAGCCCGCGCGGATACTTTGCTCAGATACTTTATGTATTTACGAGTCAATGTCACAGTATACGCGATTTACCTACTGAACTCGAACATTCTCAGCATTATAGAATGCATCCATGCATGAGAATCACGTCCCAATACCTTGCGTAACCAAGCTAAGAGATGAATATACGGACTTTGTTCGCTGAGCAGAGAGGCCTACGGAGAGGGAGACGACATGAAACAAACGTGGGAGAGAAGGAATTATTTGAATTAAGTAGTTTTAGTCTGTATGGCATCCAACGCGTAGAATCTAGTCGAACATCTATTGCAGACAAACCATGTGTAATTTGATTTGATTGAAATATTGAAATATTGGAATAAATGATATTTTACTTAATTCTGTAATTCAAGAGTAAGTTGGTTAGCATATAATGTGACGTTAATAAATATTAAGGTTCTCGGGGAACACAACGCTAATATTTGTTATCTTAAAATTTTTAAAATTTTCACGTGTTACATCGATTATCACACCACGTTTTTTTCTCTTTTCTCTTAAAATGCTCTCCACAGTCTCCAAACGTGTTCCTCTTACAAGGTCCAATTTCATTTCTCTTCCCGTTCTCGCATTTTATGCTCCCTATCCCAAATCGCGCCTTTATTCAAATTTCAATTCCATACGGACATACTCTACTGCATCCACCACATCAACACCCACATCAACAAGCGCATCCGAAGAACCGATAACAATTTATGAAGGCCCATTTGCAACAGCAGCAAAACGATTAAAGGTGTTTTCCTTTTCCTCGTTGGGGCTCACACTTGTGCTTACTCCAGCGTTGTTTTTGAGCGATGCTGCTATTGGGATAGCGCCGAGAACTACAATGGCCGCTGTTGGTGAGTTATGAAGAGTATGAAGTTTTGTTTTTTTCTTCTTCCGAGTGTACGATTCAAACATGCATTCATTGGATCAAAATCGTTGTAAGTGGGATTTAAATATTGTATTAAACTAGGCCCTGGCCGGAAATAGGCTTTATATTTTATCACCATCGTATTCCTCTTTCTCGCCATAACCCTAATCAAATGATTTTTTCCATCTTCTCAATGGCTCTTTTTTTTTTTTTGCCTTTTCACATTTGCTCATATCAAGCTCTCATCACAAGCACGGCCTCAACACTGGCGATTCACTGGTGCCTGGCACCATATGTCGCCCGCGTTAGTGTTCCCAAACCTTCTCTCGGTCAAGTGCCTATATTAACTCCAGACACCCCAATAACATTCGAAACACTCTCACTTACGGCACGACCATTGTATACGACAGTTCCGCTACGATCACTCGAACCTTCTACGAGGTTGTTTACAACGTGGAAAGTGAAAAAAGAATGTGAACATTTGGTACAAGCGAGAAATAAGAAAGGGAAAAGAGTTGCAGGGCAAAAAACGTTTTTCTTACATTTAGAGTTATTAGAGGGAAGTAAGTATTATGATAAAGGCGGAGGAGAATTGGCCAGAATTGTCAGGATCGGATGATGTTGGTTGAGAACAAGTTGTGCTAAGAGGTCATAATTAACGCGACGCCAATAAAAGACCAGCAAACAAAAAAAAAACACTATTTTCATGCTGTATTGAGAGAGGGCGTGTATAATAGCTTGCTGATTCTAGGATGAAATTACAGCTTTAAATCACGTGTCGTATTGGCACAAGGTTGCTAATCTCTGAAGAATCTACTTGTTAATATTTTGAACCAAATAAGACAAAAGACTGCCATTGTGGACGACAATTGTAATAAAAGATCTCAAAATTGAGATATCTTTTTCAAAAGTCAAGCATTAAATTGAAAAAGGCAGACGTGTCCAAACACAGTGCTTCATCAAGTAAATAGTTGCAATTTTGAATCAAACATTCTGCCCAGTCATATGTGAAACCGAAGTCCTACAATAGTTGTCACTTCATTTTGTCAAAGAGCAATTCCTATTGGGTCTATTATCTCCAAACTTTATTATCAATTTTAAATTCCCGCCCACTATACAGTTTATGTTAAAAAATTTTTTAAATATAATCTTTCAGTTTCAGAAGTCTTTCCCTGGCCTGTTTTAATGTCTCGTCGGTTTTGCAGAAAGCGAATCTAGCATAACACTCGGCCAAATGCCTGTTTTCAGCACAATAGAATTCGCTTGGTGGTATGGCCACAACTCCAATTTCTTTCGCCAACCAATAACAAATCTTGAAATCATAACCTCTATTATGTATAATCTCTGGAAATTCGTAGTCTGCAGGAATTTTGACTTTTGACATGTCAACAAGAATGAAATAAGAGCCCTGAGGTTTGGTGTATGGAAGAGGGATATCATCAAAGATGGACATCATGTAATCCCGTCTTTGCTCGTAAATTTCGAGCTGGTTTTCAAAAAAGTTGTGGGCGTCAGCCTGTTCAAAGCCAATTGCCATCGCTTCCTTTTATAAAAAGAAAAAATTTGAGAGGGTTAAGCGTGGATCTCCGCATATTGTCTAATAACTCGTAAATATTTCACATCTTCCCTCAGCTTCATCTTACTTACTTGTAATGGGGAATTGACACAGAATACAATTCTTACATGTGCAGCTAATGCCGCCTCTACTAATTCCTTTGGACCAATCAACCAACCGATTCGCCATCCCGTCGCTCCAAAAGTCTTTCCTCCGCTACCAACAGTAATCGTGCGTTCCCAGAGCCCCGGAAGATTGGCTATCCTTTCGTGAGTGTCGGGCCTAAAGTACAGTCGGTCATACTGGACGAGGAGAGCAATTGAGATGGATAGTGAAAAGCAAGAGCAACATTGAACTTGTTGATTATATGTATAATTTGCATCATATGATATGGTATGTCTGGTAGTTTAATATGTCGTTTCCCGCAACCTCTTTTCAAATGCCCCTTTAGGTTCAACTCACCACTTCATCTGTCAGGATCAATAAATTGTGTTCGGTAGCAACCTTTCCAATCTCTTCCAATTCTTCCTTGGAAAAGACTTTTCCGATTGGATTATGAGGAGTATTAAGTACGATAACTTTGGATCGAGGGGTTATCTTTGACCTAAGCTCATCCATGTCTAGAATCCAATCTTTCGACGATATTGTTGCGTTAGATCCGCCTTGTGGCCTGAGCGGAACGTATACCGGAACTCCTCCATTCATTTCTATATTGGCCTACGTCAGGGGGACGGGGGGAAATTCAACAAACTTAAAAAGGGTGTAAAAAATCCCCCATTACATTGTTGACAAGTTGAGTTAATATGCAAAATACGTACAATATATTGATCGAAGAAAGGTTCCATCAGAATAACTTCGTCACCATCATCGAGGAATGCAGCAAATATTGCAAATATTCCTAATAAAAAAAATGATGTGAATATCTTGCTTCCTAACTTAATGCCGTAACATGCTAAAATTCCAAAAATCTTTCATTATACCTTCATTCGCTCCGGCAGTGACCACAATTTCAGTCTCGGGATCCAAAGTTCTGTCCCGGAATAATGGGTTATATGCATCTGCCAGGGCCTTCCTGAGACGAATTCGCCCTTTGGGATGACTAAATAACGATAGAAATTACACAAACAATGTCTATAAGACAGAACACTCGTATGATGTCAATCAATATAACAATATCAACCTGTACTGACTACAATCGGTTTGCAGGATAGTCTGCCTTGCCGCTTCATTGAGGAAATCAGGTGGCGCAAAACTTATGTAAACAAAAATTTTTAGTATAGGTTTCACGCAAACGTCAAGCTACGGCATGAACATAGACTGTGCATACTTCATGAACCCCTGCCCTAAATTCACCGCCTTCAGTTGTATAGCAAGAGGACTGAATATAGACCATACTATGGGGATAGGATATGTTGAAGCAATGCGTTAGGAATGTGACAAGCATAATATCCCAATCTCGATCGATCAAATTGATGATACTGGTATAATATTGCTAACCATCCTGTATCATATGAGCAACCTTTTCGGATCTCTTAATTTTGACAGTATTACTCATATTAGCAAAGTTTCGGTGTATCAAATTTTTGACAATATGTCTTCTTGTGCTTGAGTCGCGGTAGAAACGTCGAGTGAAAACGAGAGATGACATCTATCGATAATCTTTTACACAAATCTGACCAAAAATGACGCATTCCGTTTGGTTAATATAAATGAGGGATGATCATATTTTGTGGGGCTAACTGCTAATAATAAGTCATACGAATACGGATGTCGATACGACTATGATGTGATATAAAAAACCCTTTTTGCAAAAGTCCCAAGTAGAAAATTTTCTACTTTAAAACATTCGGTCGTTCGAACTTTACACGGGTACTGATTCCTTGAATATTCACAAGATCAATTTCCTTATTTTGAGAAACATGACGCTTATTGCTACAAATAACGCAACAAATAGCTTCACCGATAACATAGCCGACGACGCTCCTCTATCAGGTACCTTACGGTTTTCCATTTTTTCCAGATTCTTTTTTTCACACATTTCCCAATCTTACAATTCTTTCTAACCCTAATTGAATTAAAACGAAACCCATACCCACGGCCAGCGCAGTCGTATCCGAACTTTGCTCAACGGATCTCGCAACACTCATCTCTTCAAACTCTCGCGCCTCACTGTCCCCTACCATAACCCACAATCTTCTTCGAATAGACTCGAGCGCCTTTCTTCTTCAATACCCTCGAGGAGCCTATACTACCGCGAGAACAGTAAAGCGCGTATCTGTAGTAGACTTCCAAACCCACGTCAACCGTCTTGCTAATTCGATTTCTCATATCAATTACAAGTCGTATGATTGCTCTTCTGTTATCGATCAATCGAGTGATGTTGTCGCAGTAGATGCTGCTGATTGTGCTGATTGTGAAGATTGTGGAGAACCGGAAGAGGTCCGAAAGGCATTGGAGTCATTTAGGAATGCCGCAACTTTAAAGAGATTATTGCTTCCGTTGGTTAGGGAGGGATTAAAAAAGTATTATGAAATTGAAGAAGAGAATACTTGGCATATTAAAGGTGTCAGCGAGGCAAAGATTACTGTATTGATTTCTTATTCTTTCGCGGTGCGTACATGGAAATTCCATAGATGAAGGGACAATGGGGGGTCGTGTTTTCGGTTTAAGTGCAAGGTGCTGCGAGACGTGCTCGCATTCTTGATCTCCACAGATGAATTCAAGCTCAAAAACAACAATATCATTTCATTTTTAGAAACGCCAACCAATTCTTGCCACTCACGTTTCGCCATTACGCGCACCTCGATCCGGGAAATGTAGAGTACGCAGAAATCCATACCGTGGTTTGATTGGTTTTGTGTCATTATCAGCAATTCTGAACTTTACATTTTTTCTTTTGCAGGTGGAAGTACATGGTGAACCTCGAAAAGCGGCTGAAACAAAAGATTCGCAGTGGGTTCGGTAAGGACTTGTATAACAGTACAAAGTTCCTTGTCGACATATTTCTGATTACCCAATTCCCTATTTATAGCGAACGCAGAAGCCTCGAGGCTTCGCTTCATCCTGGCTTCAACGAACTTCTTCTGTATGATTCCAACACCAAAAACATATACGAAGGCCTATCCTCCAACTTTTTTGCAGTGTTGCATAATCCCGACACCCAACGATCCATCGTAACCACAGCTCCAAAACATTGCGTATTAGAAGGAACTATTTTGCGCATAGTCGAAATGATATGCGAGAGGGATGGAATAGAGTTCCGGTTCTGGTTTCCAAACGTTGCGGACGTTGAAACGTGGACTGGGGCCTTTATTACGAGTTGAGTTTGCGAAGGTTGTGCATCCTGACGAGAGCAGGCTTATTCAGTCGGTTTGATATTTTTTAGGTACATCGAGGTTAGTTCTTCCGGTCGAATTGATCAAGTTTCGTGATGGAAGGTAAAGTACTTCCACTACATATATAACCCTTATTTTTCACGATAATATCTAATCCTAACTAACTATTTATACTTTATTCGTGCTCTAGGCCACCAGTAAAGCTTCCAACACATGATGAAACGATAGCACACATACGAGAAGAAGTTCACAAGGAAATATTTAAGCGAGCTCACCGGATACTTTGAGGAGATTACTAATGACGGTGTTCCAGAGGAGCGCCAGCGTATAGCATCACAAGCCTTTTCTCGAGAGTTTGGGACGAAAAGGTGTGGAACCAAATTATACGGAATTGAATCCACTGGCGAATAAACAAAAAAGTTTTATAATTATTTGATAGATAATATTAAGCATTCCACATATCGGCTAATGTTTTAATACATATTACACAATCTTACACATTATTTAAATACTAATTTTCTCACAACTGTCTCCCCAATGAACAAGTATCAATTGAATTCAAATCATTGTCCGCTAGTTCATTATCCATTTCCGCGGCTTTCCCCCCACAATCCGCCACCAGCTTTCTTTTGTTCTTCCGCAATTTTTCTAAACATTTCCATAGTCTCTTGTTCCTTGGACTTGTACGCTACTATTTTCTCTCGAACATTAGCAGCCTTTTCGGCCATGTACTGCTGCTTCCTATCCTCTCTGGCTGCCTTTGCACGATCTCGCGCCGCTAATCTGTTAATTGGTATAGAATAAAAGTCAAACGATATTTCGGAGGGAAGGATGGCTAGTAAACGGTATCATGCCAAGGTGTAAATACCTCGAATTAAAGTCATCTCCACCTAGTAATGCATCATCGTCAAGTTCAAGGTCTGGACTTGCCTCACGTCGATAATGTGCATTACGAGCTTTCTTCTTCTCAATCATTGCTTCCCTACCTATTTGATCAAGAACACTTGTGAATATAACATTATCATGTTTGACACAATATACTTTATTGCAACGCGCTTAATTTGGTATCTTGCTTCACCTGTTGCTTTTGGAAGTAGTTCGTCGAGAACTGCTTCTTGCGTCTTTGCGTAGTCTTTCGCTTCTTTCTTCCGCAGAGAACGCTCGTAGCGCCGTCGATCCTCATCATCCATATCTAATGGAAGGTTGATATATGATGTGACTATTAGCATTGATATAATAAAAAATTATTTCTCATATTACGTGGACGTTACCTTCATCCAATTCTCGAGATGGAGGAGGCATAGTAGGGCCTATAAAACGTAGTCTTAAGCAATGCTTGCCATCTCTTTCTACCTTTTACAATGCTATCCAATCATCAATAATCGTACCGATAATACGTTTTCCTTCCTCTTTTTTTTCTTTGCTCAT